CTTTCCCAGAGTGACGGCCCCATGGGAAATTTCTGAGGGAAGCTTAAATGCTTTTCATGACACAATTAGGACAAGTATGATAAGGTCAATTTTATATAGACTGATTAAAGTTAGGAGTAAATGAAGACTGACATCAGGGAGATGTCTAAACCTTGCAAGTGAGTAATTTGAATGGAAGTTTTCTTTCAATGGGATTTGGGAAGGAGCTAAGGAGTATTTGTGGAAAATAAAATTTGACATCACATACAATCAATACTACGTTATTAGCGCAAGATGATATGTGAAAATGATTAAAGATTAGTATAATAAACAATGGCTGAAATCAGAAAGATCAGAAAACTATTGCTATTAAACAAATGTAAATCAAGAAATGTTGTAAAAGAAGAAGTTGCTTGAAAGAGTTTTCCTTTACAATTTTGTTTATCTTGTATACAAGGCTAATGTGTATTTCTGTTTATTTACACAGGCCTTCTCAATAGGTGGTTTTTAGTTCAATTGAACCTTTATCTAATATATAACAGAAAAGGTAAATTTTATAATGCATTTATTGTTTGAAGGGTCAGTTTTCTCTCTTAGAACTTTGAGAGACTATGGCATTTGATTTCTAAGGTCTGAAAAATAAAAGTGTCTAGAAGTGATTTACGGACTGGAAGCTCACTGTCAAAACATGAACTTTCCCAAAAACGTTATGATCACTGTCTGCATTATGGTGATAGAGATAGGAATGATAACATTGGAGCTTTGTGCTCCCTTTAATTAATTGCAAGAAAAATATGCACTTGAATACAAGTTTTCATACTGTCATGTATAACAATCAAATGTGGCTCGGATCTGTTTTATTTAACTAATAATCTGACTGATGCAGAATTTCCAGTAACTTTCTTCATCCTGAACTTAATGTTACATGAAAACAAAAATGCTTCTTTCAGGTAATATGATAATAATTAACTTCTTATTTCTTTACCCTGAAATAGAAATTGTTGCTCTTGACCAAAGGTTTAAGGACAAATTCATAAAACATCTTACGGGTAAGTTTTCTTCTTAATTCCTTTACCTCAGATTGTTTTGCAACTTGCTGAATCCTCATGATCGGTTTTCTTCTTCCCTGTTATAGGACCCCTTTATTTCAGCCCAAAGTGCAACAAATACGCTCATAGAATTTATCACAACACAAGAGACTGTACCACTCCTGAACGTAAGTGACAAATCTGTAAATTACTTTTGAGTACAGTGTAGATGAATAACATCTGAAATATGTTTAATATCCTTTAAATAAATATATTGATTTATGTATATTTTTCTTAGCTATGGAGTTAGGGAACAGGGCATACAGTTCATTGAAGTAGATAACGAAATTCTACAGCAAAGTATGTCACAAAATTGAAAATTATTCATGTTCTTTGGAATTCATTAGCCCTTGGAATAGGCCCCTTCCATTCACATTCTTGCTTTGTTTATGTGTTCTGTATTACATCTGTATCTACTGAACTATGACAAACACACGTTAAGATGGATTGTTAACATTACTACTGCTGAGTCAATAGTCTGGGAAGCAAACAAAATCAGATTAATTTGAACCACTCGGAGTGAACTTTCTTGACCATACCTAGTACCTGAGCAGAGACT